TTGGGCATCTTCATTTGTGAGGGGAGGGGGGGGGATACAAATCCTATTCTAAGAAATCACCGTTAAATGAAAATAGAAGCGTCTATAACTGAAGATTCAAAATTAACATAATTAAGACTCTAGTTATATGTAAATCAATTCGGCCCAGCCGTTACGATACCTTCAGAATGCGCTCATTGAGAGAAGTTGTCGAATTCTCAAGATTACTGACGGACCCGCGGTTCTTCACTTTACCAGACATTTTAAACGTCTGAAATTAAATAAGATAATTTTATAAAAAGTATGAATTATTATATACGGACTTAAATGTGAACAATTATTCTACAAATTATAATAATGGTATATTACTTCATATCCATCTACGGCAACGTGTAAAAACTAATATATATATATATATATATCAGATCACGCCGGTTGTTAACGCAATTACACCACAAACGGTCTGTTTAGTAGCAAAGGTTAAAATTTCAAGGAGGTTGCGTGGTTTATATTCATTTTTTAGTACAGCGCGGCCTAATAGTGATTTATCAACCAAACTACGACTTATCGAATCAGATTTTGTTAAAAAAATTTTACAGTCAGAAGTAAATGTTGGGGAAGTGCATTTTTTAAACTGATCAAAATATTTGATTCAAATAACTCTTTTTGTTGAGACAATTTGTAGTTTTTACAGTTCGTAGTTCAGTTTATATCGCGATCTCCATCTTTGAATTGCGCATGCGCGATAAAGGAATTCAATTTTCAGTCTTTGACCTTAAAAACTTCTTCACAATTAAAAAAAAAAAAAATTTCCGGATTGACTTGTTTTTCTTAAATTATTAATTTAAAAAAAAAAAATTAATTTAAATTTCATCCCTGGTTTTATTTTACTAATTAAAATTCAGTACTGCGTTCCCCAATTTAAGATAACGCCATGAAATAAAAAACAAAAATTAAATTATCATTTTAATTAGTACAAAATACTGATCAATATCTATTTCAGATTTCTCTTGATCGTCCAAACGGCCGAAATGTAATCGTCCAAAGGTTGTGATTAACCCGTGAACCTTAACACCAAAATGTGCCATATTTTGAAACTCAAGTTACCAATGTTAAAGTGCTAATTAGTGCCTAAAATGCCCTCCTGTAGTCCTGGTGATCGTGTAGTGCTGAATTTAATTCATGTATTTCTTCTTTCTTTCTGTATTATAAGGTGATTATGGATTTTTATTAAATTGTGTAAATAGATATTTCGTTGTATGTTGAGATGAGAGCTAAACTTTAGTTACTATAGCATAGTACATTTGGTGTGTATTATTAGAGAACGCTTGGCTAAATCTAAACAACCCCCACATCTTACCATTACCTAACCTTGTACAGTATAATCATGAGTGGTTACTATTTCTAATATGGAGGTAAGGTGTCTATAAAATAAAGGACGGACGGGTCTACGAGAATTAGATCTGTAAGAAGCCCCAGACCGCCTAAATATAGTACATACTATTTAAAAATTTTAATTCTCTTTTCTTTTAGTTGTAAGGGAGAGGGGTTCTGTGACCCCCTTCTTTGCGCATGCGCAGATGCGGCTGCAAACTGCACACAACGGTAAGTAACAATTTACTAAAATCTATGAAAAGCCAGAGTATTATAGCATAGTTTTCGAATTATATATATCATAATTTTGTTAAATACTAACTCTACAAAATAAAGGTTTAATAGGAAGAACAATTTACTAAAATTTTATTAAGATTTTGATTGATTCAAATGTTGTAAATTTTTTTGCTTTAACATACTTTTTCTTCTTTAAACTTTGATTATTTATAAAAACACAATATCAGAAAAAAAGATGCATCAAATTTAGGAACAATCAAATACTTTTGTCAATATTGGGTCTGATTAGATCTTAAACATGTAATAATTAATAAAGAATAATAATATATTCTTTTATTATTTTAGGGGTTTTATCTCCTACCCAGCTGGTCTACCTCCAAACCTTCTTGCTTTAGGAAAATAAATAATTCAGCTCTATTCTACTAAATGATGTCAATTGTTGAAAAGAAACCGAATATTACATTTGACGTTGTAAACTGCATTAATCCAAAGTATAGATCACATATAACGTGAATTTTTTATATAAAATTAGACCTTATTAATTAAACCTTGAGCGACCAGAAGATGACATATTGTAAATATTAACTTATTTTGAAATTATATGCTTTAAAAACTGATCTTAATAAAATCTTAAGTTTAAAATAACTTTGAAAAAAATAATCAATACATGAGATATTAAACCATTTAAAACTATCCCAAGCTTGATCATATATTATTGATTGATTGATTTCAAGAATACGGTGAATTATTACTTCTTGATAGATTTGAGTTTGAACGACTTGAGTTCTGTAAATGCTTCAGAGTTAGATTTGTATCCTAGTCTTGTTTCTCTCATTCTCAGGAAACCATTCATTTGTTCATTTTTTCATTTGTTCATTTATTCATTTATTCATTTATTCATTTATTCATTTATTCATTTATTCATTTATTCATTTATTCATTTATTTATTTATTCATGCATCTGGTATTTATCCATTCATTTACTTACTGTACTTATTTATGTGTTCCATGTTTTTCTTTTATTAATGGCTGATAGTCAAGAATAATAAGCTTGGTGTTTATTTTTATTCATGAACTATCATTTATTCATTCATCCATGGATTCATTCATATTATGAATTTGTTTATCCCATGCAATTGATGTTCCGTATATTAATGGCTGTCCGGTAATCTGGAATAATAAGCTGGAAAGGTTTTTTATTTTTAATTCATTCTTTATTTTCTTCATTTATCTATTCATCCATTTATTTATCCTTATTATTAATTTGTTTATCCCAATTGTTGTTCGTATGTTAATGGCTGGTTTATAATCAGGAATAATAAACTGGAAAGGTTTACAACCGGACCCAATAATATTCTTAAACTTCTCGATCTCTCCAATAACAGGTACTGAACATTCAATTCAATAATATATCATTTTTTTGGACGATTTTGAACCAAAAAAAGGACGTTTTTTGGCGTAATTTTGTTGAAAAATATTTTCAATGTTTTCATTACATTTTCTGATATTTTTATTATTATTTATTCAACATTTTCTTGTTTTTTAAAAAGTTGAAAATAAATTTTTTCAGATGTTATTTGTGTTTTTTTTTGTTGCTAAATTTTAGGATTTTTCTTTGCTGCATTGGGGAATAATGAATTTTTGGGAACTAAGTACTAAAATGGGCTGGAAGAAACTTGCCTATTTTGTGTCAAACTTTTCATCGATTTAATCAATGTTGGACCAACCATGAAATGCTTGTCCAGGATCTCTTCCTTAAGTCGCAGCGTCGACCTCTCCCTGTTGGAGGCTGTGACCTCACTTGACCTCAGCGGGAACCTTATCTCCACCATCCCGCCAGCCAGCTTCCCCAGGTAAACAACTCAGAAGGGTTGTATATTTTCTATAAAAAAAAATTCTCCCAGAATTAAGGATTTTTCGCTGAGTTGGGGGCAGTAAAAAGTAAAAAGTTGGGGGAAAGTATCGACAAAGATGAAAAAACTTGCCTTTTGTCTTTTTTTTTCAATTCATTAAAAATCATCNTTATAATAATATTATGATAATAATAATAATTATGTTAATTTATCTGTAATATATCACATATCTAGGTTTAACATTTCATGGTCTCGAAAATGTGCGTATTCTGAAGCTGAGAAAGAACAGTATTAAATACCTGATGGACGGAGCATTCTTTGGACTGAACTCTATGGAGCAGCTTTTTATTGATCGTAATCAGGTAATTGCAGGGATTAAATCAATCAATCAATCATTCTATCAATTAATTGTTGTTTTAATCAGGTATCGCAATTATTATATCAAAAGATCAATTAATCAATCGATTGATTTATCAGCCAAACAATTTAATCAATTTAATTAATTAATCAATAGTATATCTAGGTTAAGACTGTGAGTAAAGGTTGGCTCTACGGAGTAAATAAACTCAAAATAGCATTATTAATTGAAAAGATAACTAATCAATCAATCAATGATATATCTAGGTTAAAACTGTGAGTAAAGGTTGGCTCTACGGAGTAAATAAGCTGAAACAGTTATCTCTAGCTTACAATAAGGTTAGTTTTGGGGTCCTATCGCGGTCATTCCTCACGATTACTGATGATTACTCATGATTACTCATGATTACTCATGATTCCTCATGATTCCTCACGATTTCTTATAATTCCTTACGAACCTCACAATTTCTCATAATTCCTCACGATTCCTAATGATTCCTCATGATTCCTAATGATTTCTCATGATTCCTCACGATTCCTCATTATTCCGCACAATTCCTCACAAGTTAGGGGGGAAGGGGGTAAAAACTTACTTGAAAAAAAATTTTTCTACAGATTTTGATTTTAAGGTGTCTAAAAGAATGACTTGTCAATTAAAGTTTAATTTAAAAGTCCTCTTAATCAGGCCCACACTACAATTTTTTTTAATTTTTATAAAAAAAATTCTGAAACTTTTGTTTTTTTAGGTTGACTATATTGAGGACGATGGTTGGGAATTCTGCCGAGAGCTGTGGGAGCTGGATTTACGGGGAAATCTGATCAAGATTGTAGAAAAGGAAAACACACACTTCCAGATTTTCAATTTTTTCATTCATCAGTCCCCGTCCCAAAACATATGAACTTTTTGGATCCACCCCCTAATCATATTAATTTTGTTTACTGTTGATTTTTGTAGTATACTAAAAGGTACGAGGGTATGTTTAGATAATTTATGGGTTAAGCACCGAGCGCTAAGGTCACAGATGTGATTATGTCCACGGTGATAATTATCATGATTTGAATAATGCATTGACAACGATTCTACCCCCACGTCTGTATTTCTCATGACAAAAAGAGTGTTGTGTGTACAGGATATCCTACGTAAGCTGCCTGCTTTAACCCATCTTGATCTAGGGGAGAACCTCATCTCTCATATAGAACCTGACAGGACATTTACCGAGGTTAGTGTTTTGTTTGTTTGTTTGCTCGCTTGTTCGCTTATTCGCTTGTTCGCTTGTTCGCTTGTTCGCTTGTTCGCTTGTTCGCTTGTTCGCTTGTTCGCTTGTTCGCTTGTTCGCTTGTTCGCTTGTTCCTTTGTCCGTTTGTTCGTTTGTTCGTAAGGTTAAATAATATTTTGTGCAGGTTCCCAAGCTGTTGGTTCTAAAACTAGATTTTAACCAGCTCTCACATACCATAGAGGACACCCCCGGGACCTTCAAGGGGTTGAAGGACCTCGAGGTCCTTGTCCTCAGCGGGAACCAGATCAAGAGTGTCGGAAAGAATGCTCTGACCGGACTCCGTAGCCTTCTCACACTTGACCTTGCCAGTAATGTTATTTCAACTATTCAGGTAACGTTCTACTCATAACGTTCATCTGATCCTGATCCTGATCCTGATCCTTATCCTCAAACCCTGACCCTTGATCCTCTAACCCTGATCCTTGATCACTGATCCTGATCCTAATCATAATCCTTGATCCTCTGTGCTTAAATCTTGCTCTTGGTCTTGGTCTTGGTCTTGATCCATTAAACCTAATCCAGGGGAAATTAGTTCCAGAGCTAACAAAACTACACCACACATTTATAAAAAATGACTAACACTATATATTGAAACAAAAACTGTAAATTTGACTAGCAGCTAAAACGTAATCTTCACTGATCATTGACCTTGAATATGACCTGTGACATTGGTCAAGTAGTTGACCATGAATGAATATGACCTCAACCTTCCACCGTGACCTGAGATGACCGTTTAGGAGAATCCGTTTGAGAATTCTCCTCTTCTCTCAACTCTAAACCTGAATACTACCAGTCTGCTCTGCGATTGTAATATAAGGTAGAAATTTGCTTATTTTAGATATTTATTTATTCTTTCATATTGATTTTTATTTATCTATACACTGTTAAGTTAAATGCAGTCTTAACCCCGGAAAACTCTAAAATAGGAGTACGACTTTATCGTAATATTTTAGTGCATTTAAAAATTGCTGTGTCCTATGCTTATTGTACTATTTAAAGTCACAACTTTAGTCTAAAAGTCGTCTTCCTATTTCAGATATTTTTGGTTATCACTAGTTTTTTAGGTTTTCATTCATTCAGTTTTTACATATAGATACTAATCCATTTAATAATTCTTTTCAATATTCCTCTTAATATATTTAAATTGATATTCATATACATTTTTATTCTAATATTTATTTAGGTATTTCAGTGTACAAAGTATAATCCATAATAAACTAACTGTACACTGTATAATCTAAGACAAACTGTTGCAGTATACTCAATGATAAATTGTACACTATATAATCCATGATAAACTGTATACTGTATACTCCATGATAAACTGTACACTGTATACTCCATGATAAACTGTACACTGTATAATCCATGATAAATTGTACACTGTATAATCCATAATAAACTGTGCACTGTATAATCCATGATAAACTGTACACAGTATACTCCAGGATAAACTGTACACTGTATACTCCATGATAAACTGTACACTGTATACTCCATGATAAACTGTACACTGTATACTCCATGATAAACTGTACACAGTATACTCCATGATAAACTGTGCACTGTATAATCCATGATAAATTGTACACGGTATACTCCATATAATCCATGATTAACTGTACACAGTATACTACATGATAAATTGTGCACTGTATAATCCATGATAAATTGTACACTGTATACTCCGTGATAAACTGTACACTGTATACTCCATGATAAACTGTACACAGTATACTCCATGATAAACTGTGCACTGTATAATCCATGATAAATTGTACACTGTATACTCCGTGATAAACTGTACACTGTATAATCCATGATAAACTGTACACTGTATAATCCATGATAAACTGTACACTGTATACTCCATGATAACTGTACACTGTATAGTCCATGATAAACTGTACACTGTATAATCCATGATAAACTGTGCACTGTATAATCCATAATAAATTGTACACTGTATACTCCGTGATAAACTGTACACTGTATAATCCATGGTAAACTGTACTCTGTATAGTCCATGATAAACTGTACACAGTATAATCCATAATAAACTTTACAGTGTACACTGTATAATCAATGACAAACTGTACACTGTATAATCCATGATAAATTGTACACAGTTAAATCCATAATAAACTGTACACTGTATACTCCATGATAAACTGTACACTGTATAATCCATGATAAACTGTACACTGTATAATCCACGATAAACTGTACACTGTATACTCCATGATAAACTGTACACTGTATACGCCATGATAAACTGTACACTGTATAGTCCATGATAAACTGTACACTGTATAATCCATGATACATTGTACACTGTATACTCCATGATAAACTGTACACCGTATACTCCATGATAAATTGTACACTGTATAGTCCATGATAAACTGTACACTGTATAATCCATGATAAATTGTGCACTGTATACTCCATGATAAACTGTAAACTGTATACTCCATGATAAACTGTAAACTGAATAATCCATGATAAACTGTACACTGCATACTTCATGATAAACTGTACACTGTATACTCCATGATAAACTGTACACTGTATACTCCATGATAAACTGTAAACTGTATACTCCATGATAAACTGTATACTGTATACTCAATGATAAATTGTACACTGTATACTCCATGATAAATTTTACACAGTATAATCCATAATAAACTGTACACTGTATAATCCATAATAAACTGTACACTGTATAATCCATAATAAACTGTACACTGTATAATCCATAATAAACTGTACACAGTATAATCCATAATAAACTGTACACTGTATAATCCATGATAAATTGTACACAGTATACTCCATAATAAACTGTACACTGTATGCTCCATGATAAACTTTAATACTCCATGATAAACTGTAATACTCCATGATAAACTGTAATACTCCATGATAAACTGTACACAGTATACTCCATAATAAACTGTTCACTGTATACTCCATAATAAACTGTTCACTGTATACTCCATAATAAACTGTACACTGTATACTCCATGATAAACTGTAATACTCTATGATAAACTGTACACTGTATACTCCATGATAAACTGTACACAGTATACTCCATAATAAACTGCTCACTGTATACTCCATAATAAACTGTAAACTGTATACTCCATGATAAACTGTACACTGTATACTCCATAATAAACTGTTCACTGTATACTCCATGATAAACTGTACACTGTATACTCCATAATAAACTGTTCACTGTATAATCCATGATAAACTGTACACTGTATACTCCATGATAAACTGTACACTGTATACTCCATGATAAACTGTACACAGTATACTCCATAATAAACTGCTCACTGTATACTCCATAATAAACTGTAAACTGTATACTCCATGATAAACTGTACACTGTATACTCCATAATAAACTGTTCACTGTATACTCCATGATAAACTGTACACTGTATACTCCATAATAAACTGTTCACTGTATAATCCATGATAAACTATACACTGTATACTCCATGATAAACTGTACACTGTATACTCGATAATAAACTGTTCACTGTATAATCCATGATAAACTGTTCACTGTATACTCCATGATAAACTGTACACTGTATACTCCATAATAAACGGTACACTTTATAAAACATGATAAATTTTATACTGTATACTCAATTCAATGATAAACTGTACACTTTAAAAAACATGATAAACTATACACTGTAGACTATTTTCCACAAAAAAAAAACTATACACTGTGTAGTGTATATTTCATGAAAAACTGTACACTGTACATTAGGTGGTTGTCTGAGTGGGTGAACAGTACTAGTGTACAAGGTGTACAAGGAACATGTGCACATCCGGAACATCTGAAAGGAATTCTATTCTTTAGTTTGAAATAAGATAAAAGTTCAACTTCATTTTTAACATCAAAGGAATTTTATTTAATTTAAATTTAACAGGAAAGTTTAGACTTTTAAATTTTAAATAAACAACTTTATTTTCCCTTTCTAGTGACCCTCCAGTTAGAAATAATAACAATAACGGACGTTTTTCAAGCTTGAAAATTGTTTCCTTAAGAAAATTCATACTTTGCATTCCTGCAGTAGAAATGCGCAATTTAAAATAATCTGGTTTTCAAATTTGAAAAGCATGGATATCTAATTCATAATTGATCAAAGCTGAAAACTTTAGAATGGGATATTCCTAATCCTGATCGTTTAATTAATCTGGAGATTAATAACAAGAGGAGAACAAGCATTATTTAATCTGGAGATTAAGAAAAAGAGTGGATCAAGCATTAATCCCGATATCCACCATTCTAAAGTTTTCAGCTCTGNGGGGAGGGGTGAAATTTTTTTTATTTAAACAAGCTATTTTAGCTTAATTTTGATGTTATTAGATAGAAATGTTTATCATTATGCTTGTACGAAAAGAAAAAACTATATAAACATTTTGGCTTGAATTCGATTATAACAAAACGTTTTCTCTCAGCGCTGCTTCCACGTCTGCTGAAGAAATGAGATTTACTTGGAAACAGGACAGTGCTGTTCTCTCTCTACCCTCCTGTTCAGAGGACCAGGATACAGGTATAGAACAGGATTAAATTCTGTTTTCTCTTTTTCCTACGTGCATTATTTCCTAGATTTTACGGATTATTGGTTTGTTGCGTAGAGCCGTTACTTATATATAGTTTACTTTCTGTCCGCTAGATGTCTCTGATGACCAATTTCTTACACAACGTTTTTATGATAAATTTACATATTTATTGTCAATCATTTCTTTTCAATCTCTGGCTATAAACTAGAATGTTTTTTAATAATGGAGTTTACTATTTAAAAGCAAATAATTTGTGATAGTACATAAATCCCCAGGCCTAAATGCTTAAACAGGTACTGTGTTAACGCATGTACACATTATCCATCTAATCCATAAATCGATCCATACAAATCCGATTTAAATTGTTGTAGATAAAGTTCGTCTAGGACTTTGTCAAATTTATTAATTTTTTTAGTAGATCTAGGTAAGAATTTAAATTTTAAATTTTTTCATCTTTTCTTTAACTAAATTACTTAAGTCCGTTAAAATTGTGAATTTCTATGCATTTTTTCTGTTCCACATAGCAAAAACTCTATAAATTATCGCTTTTTAAGTTGTGTTGAATTGTGACAGGTATATTTAGATCCCTGCAGTAGGTTGGAAATTTTTTTCTTCACCGCTAGAGGTCTCTGATAAACAATTTCTCAACATCAGTTTAACTTCAATCAAACATTTATACTTGTCATTACTATTTCTTAACTCTCCAATCATAATTGTGAATTCAGGTGGAAGAAATAATTTTGTTATATCAAAAGCAAATAATATAAATCGATACATAATCATTGTCCCTTAACGTTTGAACAAAACAAAAATGTACAAGATTTACGTAGAATTAGATCGCGCCGTAAACTTAGATCAGATTCCACTTAGATCAAATTCCTACTTTTTGTACACAAAGTTATAAAACTTTGTCTCCAATAGCTGACAAATTGTAATCAATAAATTGTCCGTTTATTTGATTTACTTTTACACTGTTTAATAGGGTACAAGCCAAACTTCTGTTAAAATGCCTTCATCCGTTATTTACAAATTTACAAATTAAAGTTATTCTTAAATTTCCATACTTTCGGCATTTCATATTTCATATTTCATATTTTTATTCAACTACAAAGCACGAGATAATACAAATAAAAAAGTCACAATTTACTAGTACAACTTCCTGCTTATCTATTACTCATATAGGGCTGGGAGGGAAGGATTTAACCCTAACATGCAGGTACAACTTCCTTCTTATTTAACCCTAACATGCAGGTACAACTTCCT